GGACCCCGGGGCTTGGAGCAACCTGCGCTAGTGGAAGGTGTCCCTGCCCGTGGCAGGGGTTTGGGACTGGATGAGCTGTGAGGTCCCTTCAACCCAAACCATGACTCTGTGATCTGAGGTTCTCCTGCAACAAATACCCAACAAAAGTATTCCCTAAACAAATACCGAGCCTTCCTGAGAAGCTCTCCAGGGGCAGCTTTGGCTCAGAATTACTTATGCACCAGTTTTGCTCTGCTGTACTGGCACTATTCTTTCACTGAGTATTCAGATATTCATTTTGAAGGTTCTTGAAATAATAATAATGTTAGCATCTTCCCTTTTGGCTTTTTATGAGGAAGAGTAGGATTACTGGCTTCCATTATCAAAGAAATGGACTCTGTGGTATGAGCAGCTGCCACCTCAGAAAGACCCTTACCCTTTCCATCAGTAACACTGATAATACTTGTCAGCCCCTTAATGTTCCTCTTTAGTCTGAAGCAAAATGACTTCTATAATTACCAGTGTATTTACTAGGGAATGTCACCAGAGTTCCTGAATGATCAGAGGTTACTTTGCTATGACTAATTTTGGCAATCTAAGATGTTGCAGTAACAGATCTCTCTGTTCTTTGATTAGTGCTCAGGATTTATAGTCATAAGAGCACAAAATTCACATCTGCAGTATCAGACACCCCTCTCGATTACTTTACACCATCCTGGTATCGGTCTGGGTTTGCACTCTAGCACTGCTGTGGAAATGTTGAAGAGATGGCCCACTCTGACTCACGCACAGGAATGGCAAGACTCTGCAAAGCACAAGCACCAGACCCCAGGGCTTTGGGCACAGGGGCTGCCAGCACCCAGGGTGAGACCATGGAATGCACCGAAGAACTGTTGTGGTTTAAGCCCAGCCAGTAACTCAGAACCACGCAGCTGCTCACTCAGTCCCCCACTTCTTTCTCCCCCTGCTCCCGGAGGGACGGAGAGGAGAATCAAAGGGATGTAACTCCCATGGGTTGAGATAAGAGCAGTCCAGTAACTAAGGTATAATTCAAAACCACTACTGCTACCACCAATAATAATAATGATAAGGGAAATAACAAGGGGAGAGGATATAATTGCTCACCACCTGCTGACTGATACCCAACCTGACCCTGCTTAACTTTTGAGATCAGATGAAATAGGGCATTCTCAAGGTGGTATGGCCATGGGTAAAACACACGCTCTTATTTGTGGCAACATGCTGATCCCCGGCAAAAACAGCAGGCTGGCAGGGTATTCAAAAGCCATCCAAAGCCTGAAACAACTGATCCGTGGAGGACTTACCGGTCCGTACCAAAATCCCACGCATGCCTGCCTTCTGAGCACCTCCAACATCATCCCTGCAGTCCTGGGACAGCACAGGAGATCAGCTGGTTAGTGGTCACAGGCACAATTTGTTAACAAAGTTTTCTCATAACATTCTCCAGTAGCTACACTGAGTCAAACCTTCTAGCTGCCTGCTAAACAAGTGTCACACGAATGAGTTGCTATGTGCCTTTTGCCTGATCAAACAGTGACTGAAGTGAGAACCAGCCCCATGAAATCCTGCGAGGTTGGGTGGTTCTATTTTCATCCTTTGTTTAATCCCAGCATTTTTAGAAAGATCTCTTTGCAGCATTTGGGAGACTCTACACAGTGCAGACGAGCACTGTGTGAGCAGGCAGGTGATAAAGGTACTTGTACCCCACGTACGTACATCACCGATCATGACAGCATCCTCTGGGGTGCAGTCAGTGCCCCGCAGAGCTTCCAGGAAGAAGGTTTTCTCTGGCTTCCCCACCACGGTTGCTTTAGTGTCTGTTGCGTATTCCAGCCCAGTTACAAAAGGTCCAGGTCCCAGAGCCAAGCCATCTTTTTTCTTGAAGTACCTGGCTTTATGTATAGCAATAAGAGGAGCCCCATCCAAAATCAACCTACAGAATGAACGAAGAACAAAGTACAAAAACTGTGTTAAATTTACAGCTGAAGGCTTTTGTTGAGGTTGAATATAAAACTTGCACTAACTTTCATGAAGGCCCAAATGATAACACAAGCTAGCATTCATGTAGGGTGTTAAATACAGTTCATTTCTTTTCCACAGAAACAGCTCTAAAACAAATGCTCCAAATAAAATATTTATTATCTTGAGGATTTTAACAGGTAACTGTATTTAAATCCTATGTCTCTTATGCAATTAGGTCCATTGCTCTAAGCAGCCTCACTTTTTGGTAGGCAAACATCGCAGCATTAGAACCCATCCAATTTCCCCATGCAAATATTTTAAATTACATTAACCAAAATATAACACAACGCTGGTCAGGTCACCCCTGGGACACGGTGTTCAATTTTGGTCCCTGCTATACGAAGAAGATGTGGATGGGCTGGATTGGGTCCAGAGAAAGGCCGCAAAGATGGTCCATGGACTGGGCAGCATGTGAGGAATGGCTGAGAGAGCTGGGCTGGTTCAGCCTGGAGAAGAGAAGGCTCCTGAAGGGGACTCCTTAGAGCAGTTCCAGTGCCTAAAGGGGCTCCAGGAAACCTGGAGAGGGGCTTTGGACAAGGGCCTGTGGGACAGGACAAGGGGAATGGCTTGAACCTGCTAAAAGGGAGACTGAGATGAGCTCTGAGGCAGAAGCTCTTCCCTGTGAGGGTGCTGAGGTGCTGGCACAGGGTGCCCAGAGAAGCTGTGGCTGCCCCATCCCTGGCAGTGTTCAAGGCCAGGTTGGACACAGGGGCTTGGAGCAAGCTGGTCTACTGGAAGGTGTCCCTGCCCGTGGCAGGGGTTGGAACTGGATGAGCTTTAAGGTCCTGTCCAACACAAACCAGTCTGGGATTCTATGATGTCTGCTCATTCCCACACACTTGCAGAGCAGCCTGGCTAATATGAGCACTACATAAAAGATAGTATTTCATTTCACTTAATTATCACAAAATACTTCTCTTGAATCAACACGTTCCAAAGCGAGCTCAACAAGAATAGAGTTGGCATGTGCATCTGAGAGCAGCCAGATATGTTCTCAATGGGAAGATGCCTCTAGGATACAGAAATATTTAATCTGACAGCAGCACCACAACCACTTATATTCAGCAGTTTGCTGGAAAAGATCTCACCTGAGAGAATTCTTCTAAATGTGACATCAAATTCCCATGTATGCAGAAAGAGAAATTTAGTCTTAGTCATTTCAAATGGAGCCTAGAGAATGGCCTTACTCTGTGTATCTCGTTATGAGACTCATATTGGGTTGAATTTACCTGATCTAATGTTGGATATCAACCCAGTAGCTGTCTACAAGGTGATTACTCAGGCTAGGCTCTACAGCAGAGTTAAAAAGCACTTCTAGAGCACAGAGAAGGACTTGGAGGTGTTGGTCGATGAGAAGCTCCCCATGACCCGGCTGCAGTGTGCACTTGAGCCCAGAACCCCCCGTGTGCTGGGTGCACCCCCAGAGCATAAGCAGAAGGTTGGGGAGGGGATCGTGCCCCTCTGCTGTGCTCTGCGGAACAGCACAAGAGGGACGTGGAGCTGCTGGAGCGAGGCCCGAGGAGGCCCCGGAGCTGCTGCGAGGGCTGGAGCAGCTCTGCTCTGGAGCCAGGCTGAGAGAGCTGGGCTGGGGCAGCTGGAGAAGAGAAGGCTCCTCAAGGGGACACCTTAGAGCAGCTCCAGTGCCTAAAGGGGCTCCAGGAAACCTGGAGAGGGGCTTTGGACAAGGGATGTAGGGACAGGACAAGGGGAATGGCTTTAACCTGCCTGAGGGGAGACTGAGATGAGCTCTGAGGCAGAAGCTCTTCCCTGTGAGGGTGCTGAGGTGCTGGCACAGGGTGCCCAGAGAAGCTGTGGCTGCCCCATCCCTGGCAGTGTTCAAGGCCAGGTTGGACACAGGGGCTTGGAGCAACCTGCTCTAGTGGAAGGTGTCCCTGCCCGTGGCAGGGGGTTGAAAATGGATGGGATTTAAGGTCCCTTCTAACCCAAATCAGGCTGTGATTCTACAACTTACCGAAATGCTCTGTTCAACATCTCATAGTGAAAGTGCTCTGGAGCCAGTCCTACCACCACCGCATTGGGGTCATCAGTGGCTATCCCTGGAAAATCAAAACATGACTCTGAGTGAACGGTTTTATTCATACTTAACAGTACAGAGTCAACAAGAGCAATTAATCACTTTACAGCAAACATGACCATTTTCTGATACAGACACATCACACAGACTAGTTTTAGGTTTTTTAGAGAAGAGGAAAGCATCTGTAGAACCGACTCTGCCATCCTTCATGATGAACACAGGAGTACCAGAGAGTTTTACTTATGACAGGTTATCAGCTGCATCCTGCACTCGGTGGGGTTTCTGTTCTGCCTTCACACAGCACATCCTCTACACATTTACTGGGACAACTAGAGCTCCTGGGTCTCCAGAGAGCATCATTCCAGCCTGCTAGCTGATGTCCCCTGCAGCCTGTCCTTCAGGCAGCTCAGACAGCAAAACGTACACTCAGAGATGTCATGTGGATTTGTGACACCACCCAAGAGCATCTGGGTTCCTTAACCAAGAATGGATTATATTCATCCATCTGCGACCAACTTTACGGAGAGATTAGCCCAGAATAGTTCAATAGCAACCATTAACAGGAATTTAAAGCATTCTCCATTGTACTTAAATGTTCTGAGAGCAGCACTGAGAAAATATGAGCCAAACTGCTTAGAGCAAAAAGGAACAAAACAATCCATTCCAGACCCAAGCAATACAGATGCCACCAGTGTACTTTGCCATCTTTTACAAAATTAGCATCAGCTTCTCTAAAACTGATGGAAAGATCCCAAATAGGTGGACATTAAGCTGATTTAAATACCTCCAGTGAAATAGCTGCTGTATCTGCTGTTTCTGACCCAAGAAAGCCTTCCCAAAAACACAAACACAGAACATCGCTGGGGTGTATTTCTCTGCATGCAATGTTAGGTAGAACATATTATCAAGGTTGCACTGCTCACAGAGCCCACAGAGGCTTCTCTCCTCAACACTTACCTTTCTGAAGATTACCAACTAGCCTATGGCACTAAAATTTCAAAGGGAATGTCTGTCTCCCAGCAAGATTAGAACCTACTTAGAGTTAGGTTGCCACAAGAACTTCAGTTCGTGAGGCAAGGGGCAGGGAGCAGTGGTAAACCATCCACATTTTTGCAGCTAAATGAAAGACTAGCAGAGTTTTCAACTCTGAGTATGTTAAAAACATAGGTATCTTCATTACTCTTGAAACAATGGGGTTGAGGCCAAGACTGTCATAGCTTCAGGCACCTACCAGACTTGTCCAAGTTAGAATATATCTTCTCCTACTGCCCTTACTGTTGAGGGAGGGAAATGGGAACATCTGCAAGTAAAGCAAGTTTTAATCAGGTCTTTAGAGAGGACAGTCTAAAGAAGTCAGGGTGGTGAACCTTCTGTCCACCAGTTAAGGTATCAAAGTACATGGGCTTACATGTTCAATAGAATGTAAGTAACAACAATTACTTGGAGATTTCACACTTAATAATAACCTATTATGAGAGAAATAGCTTCCTGTGTGTGCCTACACACTGGCTTTTCAGCTCTTTATGAGAAAAACCTCTGTGCAATAGCTGAGGGAAACTTTATTTCCAACAAATTGACACATTCTTGCTATAGAACAAATTAGCAATAAATCTCCAATGACCTAATGATAAGTTTGGGGGGGGGGTTTATACTGCAAATTAATAAAAAGCATCAAGTTTTACACAAATTCTGCAATTTCCACTACTCAAGAAGCTATGACTTTGGAATATTTAATGATAACTTAAAAAAAATAAAGGACATTGATGATTCTGGAGAATTCCACATTTCAGGCTTCATCATGGCCAGTGGTATATATATGATTGCCACTCCACCAAAGAGAGGGCTCTATGTTTCCCCAGTTGTTCAATGACTTCCCGCATGCTGCTTGCTGATCACTTCACCTGTGAAATCAGGCAGGGCCTTATCATCCACCAGGAGGAGAGGCCGCACTTGCTTTTGCTCTAGAAGGTTCCTGGCTGCAGTCAGAGACGTGAAGATCTCATTTTCTGCAATGTCAAAGCCCAGTTTTGTGAGCCTCTCCAGCAGCTCCCTCTTGCACTCCTTCGTTGTGTTCGTCACAAATCGAATGGTAACTGGAGCGCTGCGCAGCCTGTTGGATGAGCAGAGCAGCAAAGGCTAATTGGCCACAGCACCGTTCCATTTACACACTCATACATCAATCTGGGACAGAAAAGGGACTGTTTATCTAAAAGATGCAAGTGAACAGACTTTATACATCCCAGACGAACAGTGCCAAACCAGAACCATGAGGTTGTAAAGTTCTGTGGACTGGAGGGTAATGTGAAACAGATGGCAAGAATTACAGCTACCAGAACAAGATCAAGGCTCCCCTGGCTTACTTCTATCAGAAGTCTGGAGGAAAATGGTGATTCTAAACTCCATTTTCATAGCAGCAGCAAACACATCTATGATCAACAACAACTAGTATGAAAAGCCTTTTAATTCAAGCTAGATAATCGTAACATAATCAAGGAACGGTTTGTGTTGGAAGGGACCTTAAAGCTCAACCAGTTCCAAACCCCTGCCACGGTCAGGGACACCTTCCACTAGAGCAGCCATGTTGCTAAATAAATATACTGAACTCCACATGCTGGGTGAGCTTCACAGCACTGTCTCATCCAGTGACGCAGGATGGTCTAGGGGCCTGTCTTACCTTTGTGGTGGCTTTGTGTCAGCCTCTGTAGCCATTTCTCCCTTTACTGAGGAACACCACTAGCACATAAATCCACGTTATTGCCCTACACTGCCATTACATGCTACCAAACAATCAAATAATTTTAAGTGACAATTTCAACAGCATTCCCTTTGATTATTCCCCCACCATCACTTTTCTGTTTGTTGCTATAGAAACAAAGCCCAGCATCAAGGCGGCATGGAGAACATCAGGATAAAGTTGGTCAACACTGGAGACTTGCTTGCACCTGCCACTTCTTCCTCTTGTTTCTCAGATACACTGACCATTCACACATATGAACTGGCAAAAAAAAGTCTCCTTGTTGCTAATAAAATAAAAATTAGTAATTTTCTTTTTCCTTTGGACCTCAATACTGAGAAGTAACCCTAAAAATGGAATGTACCTATTTGTTCCCTGTGTGCCAAACATTCCAGCTTCTCTCTGGGAAGACCAATGACATGAATTAGCAGAAAAGAACATGAGAAAACATCTTATTCAAACCTTTCTGCAAAAAGATCTGGCTGTTCCTTACAGTGCAATGGCACCCCCTCTCCACAACTGTGCTAGCAGGCTGAAGCTGACGAACAGCACCAGACTCCACCTTGTATCTTCTCTGACCCCCTCACATGCCAAATCCAGTAGAGGGCCCACATAAGCATGGCTCACCAGGAATCAAGCAGAAGACAAAGGAGAATTAAGGGCTTTAGAGAACAGTCTGCCTTCTGATTCTACAGAAGGCATTTCTTCTGCACAGCCTAAGGGTTTGGAGGAGCAGGAGGCAGGACAGATACTGAGCTCTTTTCAATATATGACCACTTATATATATATTTATATATATGGATTTCTGAGAATGCTGACTCTCACTGGGCACAAGTTGTCCCTGCAGCATGAAACACCAAGCAGATAAGGTTCAGTGAATGAAAGGGTGACGAATAAGCACCCAGGACTTTAGCAGTTTTTACTTCCTAGCAATTGTATACTTTCGGGAGATAACTACTTCCACAGAACTACTTGTGAATAGAAATGCAGAGTTCCTACTCCCTCTGTCAACTTTCCCTCCAAGCAACAGCTTTATAAAAATCTAAGCAGCCAACAGAACTCCAGTAAAAACTTTCTCATCCTTAAGTGAACCCTATTCCTCTCTCCTGATCCCAGCACCTTAAGGCGTCCTCTCTCACTCACCACAATAGCATACATCACTTTGTGTTTTTTCTTCATGCACTGCAAGATGTCTTCTCCAGGAAAACAGTCTCATAACACAGTACACAGCTCCCTGGGGCTGCATATCCTATAGTGCCACTTGGCCAGATGAAGTCGTTTTACTTACCCCTCAGTTTCTTTAAACACCCTTTCATCACAAGAGGTACTTAACTGTCCTATTTATTAACATGTTGGAATTCCTGCAAAAGCCAGGCTGTATAATCAGATGGTTCCCAAACTAAAAAAACAACTGAGGTTGTTTATCTGCCACAAAGAAACTTGACAAATAATAAAGCAAAGCCTTGGCTGAAAGACCACGTGAAACAAGAACTCTGTAAAGGATGCTCTCCTCACTGGGCCACATTACTGTTACTCCACTTTAGCTCACCACAGACCTAAGGGCTCAGACAATCAGGTTCCTGCGGTTAAACAAAGCAGAAAGGAACAGCTCAGCCAAAGTGACTTTGGTGTAACTCAGGTTAACTGAATTGCATTCCACTTTGGCTGAGGCTATAGTGACATATGAATTACCAGGAACACTCTGAATACCATAGAATCATAGAATGGTCAGGGTTGGAAAGGACAATATTGGCTTTTTTTCTATCTAGAAAAGACTTGGAACTAAAAGACCTAGAGAACAACTTAGGAAAGCTGCAGGGGCTCAGACAGCTTTTCTGCATCTAGGACCTTTGCTTATTTCTCTTGGTATTAATACAGGTGTAAATACAAGCAGAATTTGGCCATGTTTGCTTATCCACGAAAGCACAAAAACCACAGAAGCTTCAGGCCCGTCTACTTAAAGAAGCATCTTAGTGCAAACAGCACTGCTATAGCCTATCAGAGGGAGTCTAAAAAGGTAACTTGCCTTTTAAGAGCTTCCTGCGCGCCTGGCACAGCTGAGTCTTCAATGTGAAGTGTGCCGTTGAGATCCACCAAGACAGCTTTCAGCGCACGCCGAGCTGCCATCCTCCTTCCCCAGGGAGAGGGCAAATAAATGAAACAACAGAAAACTGGTTAGCAGACAATGGATAATAAAAATAAGGAACTCAGTTAAGCGCCTCATTTGTGCCAAGCCCGGCATTACTCAGAACATTACTCGCAGTATTAAATGGGCCCCTTTAGACAGAGAAATAAAAGGCAGTGTTTAAAAAAAATACATAATTGATGGGGTGGTATTTTCCCAAAGACTCTATATATGGAAATCAGGTGCTATTTGTTTTTAAAGTGCCTTTATTTGTGCACGTCAAAAAATTCTCTAAACAACTCAGACTATTGGGAAGAGGATCATTAGGTCTGGTATTGCTGGTTCAAGGCCTCAGCAAGCACATTCGCGCAAGTCCCATCGACACCAACAGCGCTGTTCAAGTGAAAATGAATGCAACACTACTAAATGATGGTACAGTACTCTGACTATAAAGCTCAAAATGCTCTGCAAAAGTGGATATTGTTAATTGTAGTTTTGTAAGCAAGACCTAGGGTGTTGCAGCCCACCACAACCACACAATTCGGGTGAGCTAACTCTAAGGCTACCTGGTGGTTGGCTATGTGTGTGGTAGCATGGATTTTGCAGACTGTTAGCCTGGAAGCTCTCAGGGCTTGGGGGTATTCAGCACCCCAAAGGGTTACCCCCTCCTCCTGTAAAGGGGGCAGTCAAGCAGTTTTCCTACAGCAAGCTTCTGTGCTACACAAACAGGACCATGAGTCTTCGGCCTAAAGCAGAAGCCAGCAGTCAGAGAGTAAATGCACTAGTGAAGAAAACAGCAAGGTCATGCATAAGTCACCTGGCTAAAAAGCTGTCTTCAGAACTAGTACTTCTCCTTATGTGTGCCACAAGTGCTGTATTTTGCTCCACAAGCAAGTCTGCTGGGCTGCTTCTTAGCAAATGTCCACTACAGAAGCTTTTCCCCTGTCTGTGAGACAGTGACGATCTAATCTGTCATCACTAGCAAGTGATCCAAACTTTATGTTGAGTTGTTCTGGTTACAGACAGAACATGTAACATGTAAGTGCTTTTAAGAAACACACTGAGTGGTCAACACCGTGATTAGAACCTGCCTTAGTAAGTCTCATTTTTTTATCTGGACACTTCTATCAGTGATCAAGATGATGTGAACTTAATGTCTCAAGTACAATACACATGCGCAGAAAACTTCGAGATTCTGCTTTCATTATTCCTGCT